CACCGTCTTTTCGCCAGCACGAAAAGAGCCAAAGAAGCAAACTGTCTGCCGCCCAGAGTAGGCACTCGTTGTAGCTCCGAGGTCCCGGTGGGGTCTGAAGCAGAGACGGCGTAATCGGAAGCCGGGCAGGCAGTTGGGCGGGGATCGACTCGGCGCGTTCCCTGCGAACTCCGTTCTGCACTAGGCGTAGGCTAGGACTGGGAGTGTGGCCCTTCGGGACCACCCCCATGTGGTTGACGAGCAGGTCCTGGAGCTGCCCCGGGTGAAATGGGCCCAGCATACTCCCTTGATCGGCCTACTTAGAGATGTAGCCGTCGATCACCTCCAGGTGGAGTCTGGCAGAGTGCTTGTTGCCGGGAGCTGTGACCAGCGGGGTGCCTGCAATGTAGCTGATGCGAAAGCCGTGCTCTCTGCACTCTCAAGTGGTGTACTTGCCCTATCTTTCAAGTAGCTGACTGACTCTGTGGTTGAACTGTGAATTTAGGGCGTCGCGCAATCCTCAAACGCGTTGTGAGCTAGATGCGTGTGATGACAGAAAATGTTCCAAACATGTCCGCAGCTCTCAGTGTAACGGTGTAGATATAGTAACCCTCTGCCTGACAGGAGGTACACCGTTTCCTTTCATGTATATACATATATCAATTTCTTATCACAGCCGCGAGACCCCTCGGACTCCTACGCCACTGCCAAGGTCCAAGCTGGAGTTTGACCACTTTGAGTTAGTCGGTGGCTATGTGAGGTTGTAAAAAACAGTGTCGTTTCTAACAGTGGAAAACGCCCAAAAAACTGGAGAATGTGTGAGTGGTTAAGTGGATATATATAATTATTATAACTAACACACATTCCACAGCGAGTCCCCTCGTGTTGTGACTGAAAAAACTGTAAGTTGGCTTTGGGGTTCACACAAAGAGATCTTTTCTTTTTTTATAGCGCAGAAAGATCTGGGCGATTATATGTGCAAGTGCAAAATATGGTTTTTAAAACCCGACCAGGGTTTGAAGAGGAGGAGGACAGGAGAAGGAAGCAGTTGGAGGAAGAAATGAGGAGGCAACAAAATATACTTTTTTCTGCTGTTTTAAACTGTGACAGTCTAGTCGACATTGATATTGACATTGACATTTACTATGTATGTAGCAATGTGCTTCATTCAGTAACAATCAATGATTTGCTCTACTCTCACTGAGCGATGGAAGACTAAGGCGTTTCAACGCATGAAGCATGGGGGCTCCATCAATGGTAAGACCAAACATCTTTCCAATAATAACTCCAAATACGTGCGAGTGGAGGCATTTTTCCTCTATTTTTTTCCCAGATAACTCCGTGGACTTCGTGCATTATAGGATCATTCTCTAAGAACACAATGAACCATACAAGAATTACATTCATTATGCATAAGTGTATAATTGTCAACTCTCACATACGTGATACGTGTAGCTATTTACAAATATGCAATCGTATACTTGTGAAGGTATGCGATGAATATGCATAGGAATATGAGACTGCAACTGAGTGCTCAAGACTATATCATTGTTATATAGGAGTGTTTGCAATAACATATGCTGTATACGTAGATGATCACTAAAATATTATAATGTTTCTAACTGTATAATATAATAATTAGCTATAACACGAAGTTTCCAACAGGCAGATCATACAGAAGTTGGTGTCCAAGCCAAGAGATTCTCGCAGAGAGAGGGCCAGTGTTTCTGACTACTGGTAGTGGCCACACACCGAGATTGTGTGCCAAAAGGTGAGCTGCCAGCTAGGGTTCAGGCCTTTGACCAGGCTATTTTCCTGCTGTCCAGCTTATCAGCTTTTCGGCCAATCAGATTTGGTTTGTCCTAACCTAAAGGAGACGGACCGGGATGACTGGGAGAGGCTGGACCTCATCCGCAATGAAGTCAATAAGAGTCAGGTGGGAGAGTTGGTTAAGACACCAGGGTCCTTTCTGATTTTAGAACAGGAAATGGTGGAGTTTGCCAAGATCCAGGACCCTAGAAGCATACTTAGCCTCGGCGAGTGCCTTGTCATTGGAGTAAAGCAACCAGAGGAAGTAGAGGCTGCCTTGTTCTTCTTCCATTGTCAGTACACCGCCACTCTACTTCCTCCACATCCTCCCCAACCTTGTTTTCACCAGGCCCCAAACACCCCTCGACTGCATCAATGCTGTGGTGAAATTCAGCTACAAGGTAGGGTATGGGGCAGTAAGGGGTGTATCAGAAGATTATGGTGTCATCTCTTAAAGATAGCATTGTCACAGAGGAAATACTCAACCACAAGGAGCTCACACAGTGCTTTATTCCTGACCTCTATGGGCCACAGCATTCCACCGAGCTTCTCTCCCATACATTAATTTTACATTGGCTCCATTGAGTCGTGAGGTCCAGCCAACATCAGACACCAGCCATGATCCAGCCACCACTCCCTTAATGAAGAGAGAGAAGAGAGAACATCTTATGATGAGTCTCCGATCAGCAATTCCCGACAAAGACATCCCGCAGCTGTTCCCCACATCCCTCCCAGATTGCTCCACAGGTGGTCCAGTTCACCTGCAACTATGTCCCCCTCAGCTTCTTCCCCAGGACCATCTCCTTCCTCATGGCCGTGTAGCTACGACTGGAATTTGAGCAGAGCTGATGGTGGATCCCCGCCGTGCCTGGCTCACAATGTTGTCTCGCTCTACAAGCCACAGACACCAGGTCAGATTGTTCTGGTTGACAGCTTCGAGGTCCACATAAGGCCAGGAAAGGGGATAGACCGAAATGATGTGGCCAAGATATGCTTCCAAGTCAAAGGAACAATCTTCACAGCCATCAAACAGGCCTTTGACCGTCTTAATCTCGCTAGAAATGAAGCAACTCCCGCATTCTTCTATCCCTGAGAGAAAAAGCCTCTCGCTCGCCCAGCATTTCCCTTCCTCTTCCACTGCAGGTTTGCTCTCTCACCCAATAGAATGTGGGACCAGCCAGTGGCAGTGAGCATCACCTATATACTGTGGCTTGATGCTCCAGCCACTGAGACGGAGAAACCTTCTCTTCCAAAGCTACTCAAACAATGTTGTGGTGTTGTGGCGGCTGTTGTGACTGACTACTTATCACTATGGATATTCTTGCTCAGGCTCTCTGAATGATGCTATTGAACGCGACTGCCATGGACAGACTCACCGTATCACTATAATATAGGAGGATTCTGCAGGAGTGGTTGGCAGGGAAAGGGGGGCCACCAACCTGGCAGATGCTCTGCGTGACTGTAAATTGAATGCCCTGGCCGACAAGATACCAATTACAGTAACCACCTTCGAGAACCCTTCCAATGTGAAAACACCCTTACCTACCCTTTATTTACATGGGTGTTCATTGTTTTGTCACATTATGTGTATCCTTGCACTACAGGATTGTATAGAGATACTGAAAACAGACGTCATTCTTGATTTTCTTCATTCTCAACCCGAATGGAGAAACGAAGTTTACAACCTGGTAATTAATTAGTCATGTGTTAGGAAAATCAACGCATGTGCACCCTGTAGACATAGCCAGCAGATCCAACTTTTCAAGATTCAGTGTTGGGGAAACATTTGCACTTGTGAATGGCTTGACAACTTGCTTCTCCAGGGATGACAGATTTGGTGTTACACTCCATAGATAATCAGGGTGGCAGAGTGATCCTGTGCAGATCCCCCTGATAGAGACTCCTGCCCCTGCATTAGCGAGAGTAATGAGGAGGGGAACATCACAAGCAAGAACAGCATATATTGGAGAAGAAACAGGCACTTGTGTGACACCATGTTAGAAATTGGCACACAAGAGAGCTCACATACTCTCTACTCTCACTTGTGCAGTCTAGAATGATCTAATATCCCTCAAGGTCTTTCTGTTTATTCATGTGAAGGTGGTGGTGAAAGATGCAGAATTCAACAATATATATGTGGTTTTACTTTTCAAATTCTCATTACATAATGACAAAATCACATTTAGGAGTGATAGTGAAAGTGTGACTATAATTATTATGACCAATCCTTTGCGAAGGACAGTAAAGTATTTACGGTGTAACAGTCATCCTGGTATGCACTACACTGCTACGAGTCTTGCCAGCATCAGAGTAGCTGACTCTATCCTCGCTCTCCATCAATATTGTGTTGGTATATATAGACCCAGCTGTCTGGCCAATAAATCTTCTCTTATCTTTACCTTAGGCTCTTCATATATACCACTCTCTCTTGTGGTTTTGGCCTCCTTTCAGACTGGCCTTTCGCACTCTACCAGACGTAGCTATAGTGGCCCACACAGATTTCCAGGAAAACAACAAAACTTTTTACCACAAGGACTATGTATAATTTAGGACAGTCCAATAGGTAGCTATGCAAATTGAATAGCAGCTGCTATGAGTCTGCAAAGCTTGCCAGCTCCAGAGCAGTCTCTCTGTATTCCAACTCCCTCTCTCCATCAGGACTGTGTTGGTGGCCCCAGCTGTGGGTAGCTAGCTACTGTGAAATCTTTTGTCTTTTGGTTCTGAACCTGAGCCTTAGCCCAATAAAAAGCCCCAGGTGTCAGTACCGTGACATCTTCTCTCTTTTGGTTCTGGTCTGAGCCTTACTAGACGTTGCCCACCCAAGATTCCCAGGAACACAAGGAAAGGACATGTTGTGGCTAATTGGCTGGTTAACAGGCTCAAAGCTGCATTGGCGGAGTTCACCACTGTAACAGTGACACTATAATAATTATATGACTGTAGCTAAAATATTTCACTCATAATTATATAGATTGATTTAGCTATAATTGTGTTAAGTCCTAACATAATCTATGTATGGCCAGAAACTGGCCACGGGTGATTAAATTCTTTAAAGTCTGCAGATTGCATGAATTTTGACTGTTTCCTGATTATGTTTTAGTGTCTGGATGTCCACTGGTAGTTTGCAGGCCATATCACCGATGTTGAGGAAACAGCACTTGTTAAGTTAATTGCGTGGCTAATGTGAACAGCAACCCAGTGTCGTGTCTTCTCACAACACACACACACACAGGATCATACATGTGGACTGGGGGAAAGTACACAGGCATACAACTTATGATGACATCATGGTACACAACTGACATATCAAAACGAGCCTTACACAATAGCATGACATTATAGCTAACCATCACACTAGAGAGATATATATCAATCGCTATGCCACAACACACCTACTTTTTAGCTATGTACAAGCAGGTATTTTAGTGTCCTTGAAGACAACAAAACCAAAGGAGATGCTGGGAACAGAGAGGGAGGAGCCACGAGAGTCTTCAGCTGGGACCAGGTGGGGCAAGTCCCTGTTGCCCACCAGCTCCAGTAGCACTCCATTTAGGAGGACTGAGGTGGAGATGAGGTCTCCAGCTAGTGGACTCAGCCAGAACACATCTCTGGTACTGGAGGCCAGCTCCTCATTGAGGAGCTCTGCTGTTGCCGTGGTGAAGTTTGTGTTCAGTAGCAACAGAACCACACTGCCTGATGGGTACCTGGAGCAGGAAATATATACAATACAGGCACATGGGTACAAGATTCCAGGAACTTAAAGGCCTGCATGCACATTCAGTGTATGTAATAGTACACAGGAGATGCTTACAAATATTTGGGGGGGGGGGGGATGATAACTATGCCACACCTACCCATCGGTACAAAGTGTTGTGGGACAGGTAGGGTGGGCGGTTCACTAGCACCAGGGTTCAGATTAGCTATCGTAGCCAGTGAAGTGCAGGGGATGCGTAGCATGGAAACAATTTACTGTGATTAGTGAGTGAGCTAGCAAGGGCAATCTACTATTATACAGTGGAACTCCTCTTGATCACCACCTCTGACTACTCCTTCTATAGCGGACACTTACCTTGCATCACCCTTAGAATAGTACATAAGAAACCCCTGCTTCATGGCCACCCCTCTACTCCGTATAACGGCCCCGATTTCCGGCCCCAAATAATGCTCACCAATACGAATTGACCCCTCGTTACGGCCAGCTCTGCTCACTATTACATGATTGCACAACTAAGAAGGCTAGGAACACTCTGACCCTGAAAAAAAAGTGTGAATTGATTGATATCACCAGGAAGAACCCCCAGTTAAGCAGCAGGGCAATTGGACACTAGTACGTATTAAAATGCACTGAGTGTGAGGCTAAAATGGAGGGTGCTCAACCCACCTACCTAAATTACCCACCGTCTATCTCCGCCCCTGTATCCTAGTGCAATGTGGAAATGGTTCAGGACTGTGTTTCATAGCCATACAGGGAACCCTGCCCTGCATGAGATACGGAATTGACATGTATAGACTAAAATATATATGTGGTCTATTCTGGTTAGTACAGGGGTAATAAGGGTAAGGGGAAAGGAAGGATGTGACTCTTACGGAGGCTTAGCACAGTGGGCGTAGATTCTGAGCTGCCGTCCAAGTTCCAAACTGTCCTTGACAAACAGGACTCTTGTTCCAACCAACTTCTTGTAGAGAAGAGACAACCAGTAGTCCTTTCACAACAATAATGATCATCATAATCATTACGATAATGATTACAGTACTCACAGGTAATGGGTTCTGCTCTGCATCAAGTAATGAATAGCTCCCACCGATAAAATCCTGTCGAAACACTCGTTTATGACCAATAACTGCTGCTATACCAAGTTTGTCCAGCCACCTGCAGAGCCGGAATAAAACTCATATCCAGTAATGCCACAAAACAGGAAATGACGTCAGTTACCCTAACTCAATACCATAAGTAACGTATTCTGTTACCATAGCCCTAGCCCTACCCCCTCCCCTTTAAGCTAGTCTTCTTGTATTGTGGCATTGCTGGGATTACACACTAAGTGGCATTACATGAATCCAGCCACAAAAGTGTCTGATATACTGGGAGCACCACCACCAGAGAAGCTTGACGTCTCTCCCAGCCACATACTGGCCTTGGGCTGCAGCGCCACGGAAGAGGCTTGGAAAGACACCGCCTCATGGATGAAGCTGTCCAGGACCTCCACATCATAGCACTGTGAGAGCTTGGCTTCATCTCCTCTTCCATAGTAACTAAAATTGTAGAGTTAATGTGTATAAACTAAAGATTCAAATTGTGGGTTTACTGGTGGTATGTGGTGGCATTCAGGAGGCCATGTGGCAGGCTTTCTATAAACCTGTAGAGACTCATAATCATTTTGAATGAAGCTCAACCTCAGGGACTTACTTGGTAAAGTAGTCTAAAATCTCTGCTACATCAGGTCCTACAAGCATCTGTCCCAGTGTCTTTTCCTGTACCACAAGATCTTGCAGAGTCAGGAAGTCCTTGGCGTGGTCTGCAGCTGGTATTGGTGTCCCCCACAGGTCTGGCTCTGAAGTAAAAAACACGAAAGATACATTTTCATGCACTAAGCACTAACTATTGAAAAGCATGCATGTGGTTATAGTTGTGTCCGTCCAATGCTTCATGCCTTTTATCAAGTAGTATAGGTTTTAATGTCTGTGTAACTCAAGCTGCTAAACTATGCCAAGGGTTATGATCTCTTTCCTCTATATATACCATTTCCAAGCTCCCACTGGACGGTATAGTTTCTGGAGGTGGAGTACGACAGCAGCATTCTGGCATTGTCAGAGTCCCAAGAGCCATTGGGGTAAGGTGTACGAAGGAGAGCATTCAGACCAAACACAAAGTCCCAGCCAACAGTCTCCACAAACTTGTTGACTTCATCCCACTGCTGCGGAGTCATCGTGAAGTTGGTCCGCTGCACTGGAAGATAAAACAGTTAATCTGAACAAGTGTGTATAGGATAGTATGACCAACCTATACGCTAGCTAGGTGTTTTGTGATTTAGCTACCTGTTTCTTCAGTAGAGGAGTTGAAGATAAGGAAATCTCCACTGGTACCGCCGACCCTCAGCATGGCGGGAGTCAGTCCTCGGGCCATGTTGATGATCCGCTGGGCAGTGAACGTTATTCCAGACCAGTTCCTAGAGATGTCGCCTGCGTCTATCGTGACTGAGAGGAACTGGGGATCCACCTCCGAGATGGGAGCCGATACATTCAGCACTATCTGGTCAATTGTGAGCTTCCTCTTTCCCTGGGTTGGCTAGGATGTATAATTATTGAGGAACAGTTGAACAGAAAGGTTATGTTGCACTATGAAATGTGAAGGGCTGCCTCCTTTGCTTCCTACCAGTTTTTGCTCTATCCTGGCCTGGACCTCATGAATTCTTGCACACAGCCGGCCAGAGCCTGGACAAATGTTTTGAAGCCGCCATTCCTCCGATATGTCTTTGCAGACGCCGCCACAAACGAGAATCAGAGAGAAGAGGAATCCACATACGCGAGTCATGGCGGGTCTCGTAACAAGACCCCGCCCTCGAAAAGGGGTTGGTTGTGCTGATTCAGCAGCCAAATGAGCTCAAAAACGCACTAAAGTATGGCGTGTAGATAGCTAATCAAAATTAGTACGCGCGGTCGATGAATTGGTCGGTCTACTTCACTAGGAGGTCGGTCTACTTTACTGAGAGGTCGGTCTTCTTTACTTGGAGGTCGGTCCGCTTTACGAGAGCAGACCGACCTCTGACCGACCTCTGACCGACCTCTGACCGACCTCCGGCCTAGTAAAGCGGACCGACCTCCTGGTAAAGCGGACCGACCCTCGGCGCGCATGCGCAGCGAGGGTTACGGTACTTTGGTTCGTGAGTGTGTGAGTGAGGTGTGTCTGTCCGTTCGTCTGTTACCGCGACTACGCGCAACGTGACAACGAAATAGCGACACGAACAGGTTCATTTAAAAAGGCGACTTCTGCGTTCGAAAGTTATGGCCTGAAAGGCATGTGAACAAGCGAACAAGCCAATGTGCAAATTAGCACAGGCTTACCTCGACCGCGTCCGCTCTCTTGAAGGCACAAAAAGTCACAACGAAGGGCGTGTATCGACTCTCGCATGCTATTTACTACCGTAGCTAGCCCGCGTAAGACTCTCCGCGAGCTACTATATAGCACTAAGCAGGATACCACGAGTAAACGCATAAAAATAGCCCAGCCCACAATTAGCATTATCGCGCATGCGCAGTTCGCCGAGGGTTTGCACTTTAGTACTTTTCATGTTAATTAAAGGGAATACTCTGGATATTCTTCTTACGAACAGCGAACACAATTATTATCAGTCACATTTCTATGTCATAGCCTTATGATTCCCTCCCTTCCGATCACTACAGAATCTAATTCTTTATTGAACAAGACCCTATTCGTGTTTGATTATAAAAGAGCCAATTATGAAGGGTTATGCGACTTCCTCTTGGATGTTGACTTCATCATTTATTATCTTCAATCTGTCTCAGTTGATCAGGTCTGGTCATTTTTGAAGGCCACAATCTCAAGGGGTATGAACCTTTTAACCCAAAAGTTACAATTACGACCACCAATCATCCCAAATGGTTCAACTCTGAGATCCACCATGTTATAAATGCCTCGGTACTCAAAGACTAAAGTGTTCTTTGTGTCCGACTCCGAACAACTTTTCTAATCGTCAATCTCTTGAGTCCAGACTCAGCGGGCTCATTACATCTGCTAAAACTCATTATGAGCAAGCTCTATGTTCGCAATCCTCCACAAAAATATTTAGCTACATAAAAAGCCTTTCTTCTCTCTCTTCTGTGCCACCAATTGTCTTTTTAGATGATTCCACTGGCTCTAATATTTGTGATAAGGTTTCCCTGTTCAACTCAATTTTCCACTCCGTATTCAGCAGGAGTGACTTCCAGATTCCTCCTTTGGAGGAGTTGCCAGTAGTAGCAGTATAATACCTGATCGTCCTTTATCTGATATATTTTCAATTTCTGAATTGGATGTTTTTGAGGCTCTTTCTACTCCGGACACATCTAAAGCTATGGGTCCCAAGGTTCTGAAAAATTGTGCACTGCGACTTTACAAACCCCTCCACCACCTGTTCTTGCTCAGCCTCTCACAGCACTACCTGCCTCAAGATTGGCAAACTCACCTCATTGTCTCAGTTATTAAATCCGGTGATAAGTCATCTGTCTGTAACTATCGACCGATTTCTCTCCTCTGCTCGGTTTCTAAAGCTCTGATCTATAATAAAATCTTCCATTTTATTTCTCCCTCAATCTCTCCCTCGCAGTTTGGATTTCGTTCAAAGCATTCAACAATTCAACAGTAACTGGTTTTCCTCACTACCCTTCAGGATTACCTGTCCTCAAACTGTCAAGCTGACGTTGTTTACCTTGATTTTAAGAAAGGTTTAGACAGTGTCCCACATAACGAACTTCTAGTAAAGCTGTGGTCTTTTGGAATCGCTGGCAACCTGTGGGAATGGTTCCAAGATGTCGATCACAACACGTCACACTCAATCGCTGTATTTTTGACCACCTTCCAGTTATCTCAGGAGTACCGCAAGGAAGTATTTTGGGTCCTCTATTGTTCTTAATATTCGTCAATGATATCCCCTCCTCTATCGGTTGCTCTCAAATATTCCTATTTGCTGATGATGCCAAGTGTCTAAAGAAAGTTTCCACTCCATCGGACTGCCTTTTACTCCAAAATGACCTCCTTTGCCTGTCTCTATGGAGCCAAAAGTGAAACATCCAGCTCAATGAAAAGAAATGTGTGTTCTGAGATTTAGTCCCAAATTTCCTCGCGTCATCGTTGCAATAACACTGAAATCCAAGTTCTTCACTGTCATCGTGACCTTGGGATTTTATTGTCTATGTAGCGACCTTAAATGGAATAACCATCTCAAGTTCATTGCCTCCCGAGCATACAAAGTTCTAGGCCTCACTCGGCGTTCATTTTCCTCTGGTCTTGATACTAAGGCTAAAAAGAACTTGTACATCCTCTTAGTTCGTTCTCAACTGTCCTACGGTTCACAGATTTGGAGGCCCCATCTCGTCAAGGATATTATTATGTTGGAACGAATCGAGTGCCGTGCTACAAAGTATATTCTGAACGTCTATATATGAGTCAGATTACAAGCATCGCTTACTGTCACTTAGACTTCTCCCTCTCGTTATGCAACTTGAGCTGTATGACATTATGTTCTTCATCCGTTGCCTCAAGACCCCTGATCCCTCTAATACCTTTCCCCTGCAGTCTTTTTTACATTTCTCAGAAGTCAATACCCGGTCTTCAACCCACCTGAAGCTGATGCATTCCCTCTGTAAATCCAACGTTACACGTCACTTGTATTTCAACAGACTTCCACGGCTCTGGAACTCTCTCCCACCTATTAACCTTGATCATTCTATTCTTACCATTCGGCATCAAGTTCTTGAAGCATTTTGGTCACATCTCTTTTTCTGGGTATAATTATACGAATCCCATGTATATTTGCCCATGTTCTGTGTGTGTTTGCTCATCAATAGCAACTAATTACTCTACCACCTAGGTCATCAACACTTTGTTGGTGTTCCGTCAGTACATGTCACAAAGTCTGTATGCCTGTCGTTTTTTTGTCCCTTTCTTCATATATATACTGTGAAGCTAAAGTAAAAAAAATAATAATAAGTGTTGGAGAGAATCACTAACTGGGCAAAACTCTCCCATTTTATCTGTTGTCGATGGGGATCAGGCATATGATTGGTCGATCAGGATTTGATCCGGGGCATTTTGATCCTGCGATCCCCGCTCGTTCCAACCCTTTCATAATCGCCTACTCGCCACCCCACAATGCTGCATAACGGTCACATGATTATCACAATATTATGCGCTCGGCGGAGGACCAGAGGAGTCTCCTCTAGCGGAGACGTGGGCGGGCTAACTAGCTATAGTAAAGTAAACCACGCGTCCAGAGGCGGCGTATGCGAAAGGTGCGTGGTAGTCATGGGCGAGCAAGAGCTTCAGCTCGTATGCCCCCTGTCTTTTTCTGACCACTGCATTTGCTGCTATGGCCCTTGCCACTGCCGATCATGCCCTGCTCGGAAGGTTTCGGGCTTTTTGTATCCTGACGCATCCATAACTAATTGTTGTCAGCCTCTTGTGTATTCTTCGACGGCCAGCTCACGATGAATACGCGTGCACGCACACAGAGGGGGTGGGGCTCGTCTCTCGCCCAACTTTGAAATGGAAGCAGTAGGTGCTATCTCGGAGCTCGCCCAGAGCCTACGTGGTTGTGAGCTGAGGCGAATCACACGATCTGACTTTGAGACGACAGTAAGGAAGCATTTGAGCGGCTCACACGCTGACCAGCAGATAGCACAGCTCTGGGACAAGGTGAGTCGTTCTGTCACTGCAAGGTGGCTTATTATAACGAAAGCCAAGGGCTTATCTTGTGCAGGATTATGCGGAGGAAGGGGAACCATAGGCCAAGGAGAGCTGTGCTCGTTCCTCTTGCGAGAGATGCAGCAGAGGGAGTCCACGGCCAGAGCTCACCTCACTCTCCCCCTCCCTCACCTCCCCACCTTCTCTAGCATGCCCAACACCAAGGTGAGGCTTCCAATGGGCTTACATTGCTCACAGGCTATAACTATGTCTTTCTAGGACACTGTGTGTGCAGTGCTGGGTCTTTCAACTCCTCCACAGTATCTGACAGTCAGTAAGGTATACCCATTTACATCAGTAAGAGTGGTAGGGCTCATTATGTTGTTACAGGATGGGAGCATATGTACATGGAGCACAAGGTTTCACCTGCAACAAAGTGTATCTATTGGTGGTGGACACGGTTCTGTGAGAGGGAGACAGGGCCATGGAATGTGTATCACATCATGTGTGATGATAGGCGGCACACTAGTACTAGCCACAACTGGCAGAGACCTCTTGTTCTATGACACTGTCTCGTTATCCTGCCTACATAAATTCCAGAGTTAGTATACTATTACACAACTATAAACAAACTGCACGCTCTCTATTGGTTCTACAGAACTACCCTTTGTTCCTCTCTGTCTTACCTATGGGGTTGAAGATGAAAAATATGTGAGAAATTCTGGCTCAAGATAATTGCTGTTCCTCTAGCATACTAATCTCTAGGCCACATCTCCTGGACACTTGGTATGGGGTGATGAAAGTGGCTGTGTAGGAATTCTCTCATTTGCCGAGCCTCACAAGTCATTCTTTCGATCACGACTTGTTACATTCAATGTGGGTGGCTATATGAATACATGCCCCGTTTTTACTCATGTGTTTACCTGCAGGGGGTGACAGATCAGGCTCCACTAGTGAGAATCCGATATGAGAAGGCTCACTCTGACTGGGTGTGTCAGGTGGGCTGGACTGGACCCGCCCATTACGTCATCTCAGCTGCACAGAGTTCTTCTCCTTCACTGCTCATTCAGCATGTCTCTGCTCATCGCAAAAAATACATCTTCAAAATCAGAATGGTAGCTGGAGCATAACCTGTGTGATCGACCTAACATTCACACCTAGTTTGTCAACAGGGAGTGAGCTGCTTTGACTACAGTCATCGTCTGGAGGTGGTGGCAACAGGCAGTCTGGACCACATTGTGAGACTGTGGACACCATTCTCACCTCATCAGCCAGTGGCCTCTCTCTCCAGCCACACCACAGGCATTGTAGGTGTGGCTATTGATGAAAGGTCCTGGCACCTCTTCTCTCTCTCACGAGATTTGGTCAGGCACACCATTGTATTGACCTAATGCAGATCAACTATGAGCTACGTGCACATCACCTTACTGCAGTTTCTGTGTGTATGGGACATCAGAGAGCATCATCTGCTGCAGACTGTGTCGGTCAAGTTCCCTTTCACCCAGCGACAGCCCGACTTTGGTCCCTCTCCTCTCCTTACCCTCCCACTCCCCTCTCCCACACTCAACATTTCTTGTAATGAATACATGGCCAGGTTTACTCTCAATGAAGGTACACACACACTCACTACTCACTATTTCAAGTCTCCTAGGTGTAAACCTCTCTCTTTAGCTGCTGGGTTAGAAGGAGAAAAAGTGGACACTGGTCACACACACCCAGTTTGTGCAGTTTTCTTTATACCTCACTTTGATCAGCTGGTAAGAGATCCTCCGTAATGCTACTCCCCTTCTACACATTAACCTCTGTCTGTCCCGTCCATTACTCTGTTGTTTGCATGGTAATCTCAGGTGAGTGGATGTGAGGGAGGAGAAGTGAGAGTATGGGACATTAGTTCCAGAAGGACCTGTATGAAGGTAGAGGGCTGTCACAGAGACCAAGAGCTGACAGCACTGGCAGTAGACACTGAGGGAGGTCGTATCCTGACTGGGTCACGTTTCGGAGCCATCAAGGTTTAGAAATCCCTGTTTACTGATGGTGTGTGAGTCAGAGTGAATTCAGGTCTGGGACAGTCTGACGGGGCAGAACCTGCAGAGTCTGGAGACCCCTGGAGCCACTGAAGTTGTCAGCATACTGCACCACCCAGAGATGAGGAGGTTCCTTGCCACTGGCTGGAATAGACAGATATCTGTCTTTGAAGACAAGGTGTGTTTCAGCATTACAACAAACTCTTGAAGGTGGGGTCAGGATGTGCCAGAGTAATAATGGACATTGGCTAGCATAAGACATACGCTATATTAAACATTATTGTTTTTGGGTCAATATAAGCTGACTATATAATATAACACTAGTCAATCGGTAGCTTCATACACATTGTACCAATTGCCTTTGAATGCAATAAAATGATGCTCTTTCTATAGAAACTTCAGCTAAGTCCAGAGCCAGCCTGGGCTGGTGGAACCCCACACTGCGATGACATAATCACCATGGACTACTGTTCTCCCTACTACCTTGCCACTGGCAGTTTTGATGGTCTCACTGTTGTATGGAACACCGACACTGAACGGATTGTGGCTCAATTCAGATCACAATTAAAGAGAAGAGACCAGATTCTGTATGTTCCATTTATACAACTCCCACACTTTCTTGAGTCGGCTGTATTCCACAGCACATCTGCCACTCTGAAGTCTCCTACATCACAACATCCACCCTCTGCTACCAATTCTCTCTCAACATCATCCAGACCAGCCAGTAGGAGGCTTTCATCATACAGACTCAAGTCTGCAAGCCGGTTCGGCTGTCTATGCCTGTAGCTAACAATTAAGACTAAATCACACGCAGTTCCCACTTACACCACGTTCCTGTTGACAAACTTCTGTTCTTGAAAACACGTGTGAAGTCTAAGGCAAGAGGCCAAAGTACACTAGTGACCAGCGAAGGAGGACACGCATTCTTCTGGGACATGTTCAGTTCTGGTCCTCCACTTGGTTTGTGTCCTCCCTACGTATATTAAGCTACTGTGGTAGATACGCTTCTTCTCTCTATAGGTCATTCCAAATGACTGAGAAGGAGGGAGAAGAGTGGTGATGGCAATGGCAATAGATGACAACTGCGGTGGCTGCTGGCAGGAGACACTGCTGGCTATCTCCACCTCTTCACATTGAACACTACTGCACCCACCAACACCACACCAGTAAGTCACACACTCCCTCTCACCTCCTGACTATAGCGGTGGTGGTGGACAGGATGAAGGAAAGGTGGAGGCTGAGCTGAGTGTGGGAGGCCCATTCCAGTGAGGCCATGAGTGTGTGTGGGTGGATCCGGACTCGTCGTCTCAGGTTCGGCTGACCACTCACTGAGATGTGGACTACTGATGGCCAGTGTGTTGGCTGCTTTGGACAGCCACCAGGGGCATCAGCGAGCAGTACTCTCTCCTGCAAATCTCCTCACAAAACCCCAATGCCACTGGTAGAGCAACTCTTCATTTATTTGTTTTGTTTAAATTCTAGATTATGTGTGGAGTGAAGTTAATGGTAGAAGAGGGAAGCATTAGTATGTGTGTTGCATTTATATGCACTCAGATAGTGCTTGTGCTTCTGTTATTGGGGGATTAGTTACATCAAGTTTGAAGATGGATGTGCTTGGGTTCATGCAGAAGGGGGAGGGTTCTTCTTGAGTGATTTAATGCAGAGGGTGGGTGAGAGTGATGACTGATGTTGATGTGTCATTGGATGTTGTTGGGGAGGGGAGACTTGTAATGCCTCGTGGATATAGGCTGATTTGTTCTTGAATGAGGTGGAGCTGGTGATATGTTAATGGTAGGAAGTTAGTGTCAGAGCCTGAGTGACTAGAGCCTGAGTAAGAAAAAGATCTGAAGAGGTGTGTGGAAAAGACGAACGTATAGTGAGACAAAAGTTGATATGTCTCAGAGAGAGTAGGGAAGAAAGATGTGAGTCGTGAGGGGAGGGAATTGACTGAGAAGTGGGCTAGTAGTCAGTGCTAGAGGAGAGGGAGATGATGGGCGGAGAGTGGGCGGTCTGCAGTATAAGAGGCGAGGGATGACCGGTTATAGAGAGTCGCAGGGCTGGGGTAGCGGTACATGGTATGAGTGTGTTGGCAGGGCAGCAGGTGGTGAGAGGGAAATCGATTGGAGCAGTGTTAGAAAGTTGAAGAAAGTAACAAGACTGGTGGTAGTGATGCACTTGTGGGGGAGCAGCTTCTGTATGGTGGTCAGGAACGATAGAGTTGCTTAAACAGTTGTTTACAGTAATTGGCGTGAGGAGTTAGTGTCACCACAGTTGAGGAGGGCCTCATAGTTACTTAAGAAGGGAGATAAGGTGTATCAATCTGCTGAGTGTGGGTTGGGAAGGTTTTTGTAAGGTTTTGAACAATAGTTGGTGGAAGCATCTGGACAAGGGCCGACCGAGCATTGCGTGAGGGTCAGGCTGGTTTTACGAGTTAAAAGTTGTGTTGATAATGTTTATACACTGAATGAACTCATGCAGGGTAGGCATGAAGGAGACATGCATTCTTCTAGATGTACAGAAGGCATAATTATGATAGTGTGTGGCAATAACAGCAAGTGGTGTAAGAGGGAAGATGTGGAGGGTTATAAAGAGGAGTACGAGAGTGCTATATGTGGATGGGGACGGGAACGGTCAGAGGCATTTGATGTGGAGCAGTTAGCTCAGGGATGTATATCGATTATCACCAATTTTGTTTTCCATGTTTACCAATGCGTTGTTAGGGAGGTAGAGGAAGGGTGGGATGGGATTGATGTTTAAATAGTGCGGGGAGGCTTGAAGAATTTTGTTTGCAGATGACTTGTGGTGTAGGGAGTCAAAGGATCAGTTACAGAAGCTCATAGATGTGGTGCATGCTTACGTCGGAAATGGAAGCTAAAGGCTATGTGAGTAAGAGTGCAGTGATGGTGTTCATACGCATGTCTTCACTTGAGTATCTAAATACACATACTTGGGTGTGGATTTTTTCTATAATTATAGTACTGGTGCATGGGTATGCATATCACCAATGTGTTAGGCAATGAGAAAGAGGGTCAATTACTTCTAATAGGAATATTAATTGGGTGCTCAGCAGGTTGTTGCTGCTGGTGGTGGCTGGGCCAACTTTATATGAAGTGTAGCCACCAGTAAGACTCAGAAGCTGCATGCATTAGATTCTGGGAGCGAGCCAAGCAAAACACATTCTGGGTCTTCGTCTAAGTATCTGTAGTGAAGCCGTTAGATATGGGGATTGATACCATTACATGGGCTAGAGTAAGTTGAACGTTAGCTGCAATAGGTAGACGAAAAGCTTTTCTATCAGAACATGGAATGGAATTTTTTAAGAGCCACGAAAAGGGCAGGCAGCAAAGGAAGTGCTGGATCGTAGAGGTCATCATGCCGATCTTGACAAGGCTCAGAGTGGTTGCAGATATCATGAGATTGCTCTTGAAGGGATTTTGTCCGTAGTGCAAGACAGTATCAATGAGAGGGCTGTTAGAAAGTTGGCAAGAGCTGCTACAATATCAGTAGAGTTGTCATGTATAAGACATAAGGTCGGTAGAGTCCAAACTGTATTTGCGTGGGGCAAGTGATGCTGGGTCTGATTAATGTTTTTAAGTTCAAGTCAGGCACGCATGGGCTGAGCTGCATGATAGGCATAGGAGAGGGAGGAGAGAAGGGAATACTTGTTGTGTGATGTGAGTGTGAAAGTGCGAGTCATGTGTTGTGGAGTGTCCAGCATATGATAGTATACGTCTAAGGAGCAATTCTTAGTTGCCCTGCAGAAGAAGCGTGGGATGGGTGGTGAGCATTTACAGTAGCGCGGACAGTTTCAGGAAAGCATCGTTGTTTTGGGTAGTAAGCAGTGGGGGGATAGGTGTCTGCTTGACGTGTTAAGGGTTTGCTTGGGAGTTTAAGAAAGGTTAGGTAATTCCAGTTACAAGAGTCCCGTCTGAGATTGCATCTGGGGCTGCAGGGTGTTGCGAGGGTGTGAGTTGAAGTGTCTGGTGAGGTGAGAAGATTCCGTGTTGGTGTATGTTCGTTTGTAATGTTCTGCCATTGCTATGGGTGCGTGGTCGATGCTGCCACCTGACGTATTATTTTCTAATTAGATGATGCTTCAACAGAGGTAGTGAAAGAAGTGTGACGACCATAAAATTGTCCAAGTGGAAAAGAGATTTTTCCAGTGAGATGGCACAGGAGAAGGTTAGTTAGTAGTGTTTACACGAATGGATATTGGAATCAGGACTCCTGCTCTGCACTAGGTCCTGAGTAAGGACTACCAGGTGGGTAGTTAGACAGAGATGGTGAGACTGGAGAGGAGAACTCAGTTCTCTACAGTTGACACAGCTGCAGCTCTCGTATCCCGGCCCAGTTCTCCCCATTCAGGCCTGCATGTACAAGTGAGGACTGCTGTGTGCAAGGTCCTGTAGAATTCCGTATTAATCTCCATGCTCTCTATTATTGCTGCAGGATATTGCTGATATTGAGATACCTACAGACATTGATACAGCTCTAACAACTCCATGACCAAAGAGAGACTACCTGTAGCCAGACACATTCAATATGTTTGGTCTATAAAGACAATACCCAAGATATGCCATTATTTCTTTGATAGTTTGGCCGTGTGTATAAAGAGCTGATTTGAGCTGGTGACGCACCATGCACTATGACACAATGAACCTACACTTTGCACTGTAAATTTATGGGGAAAAGAAAGGCCTGAGATAGCAGTCTCTGCCTTTGTTAGTTATGAGAGAGAAGAGTCGGTTTTGCCATGGAGACAGTGAATTAAACAACATAATGAGGATGCTGACACGGCCCCAACACACACAACCCCTATATTGTGTTGGTGTTCCAGGCCTCTTAAACTCTATTTGACTCAAGTTGTGTTAGCCTAGCTATATAGCAAGCTATTAAGTACACGCATAATTATGATTTATAGGCAACAAGAGTCAGTTCGCCATTGAGATACGTATTATACAGGTCATCCAAAAAACATTACAATTAAAGTCTTATTCGTGTTCACCGTATTGTTCTGTGTGTCATGATCAGTGTAGTAGGATAACTAGTTACAATATCTCATAATTATAAAGATCGATATAAATCATTTCAGTAAGTCGTGATCACGGCTACCAATGTGTATACTGAGCTAGTTAAAGAGATCCCACAATACAGGATTATGCAGGTGCATTTGGATATATATTAAGTGGCCAGTGAGCCTGAAGAATGTGTCGTCCAACATTACTGAGAAGAGCTTCAACTTGTAATGCAATTCTGCTCAGGACCATAACAAGTTTTCATGCAGCATACATAAACATTGTGAAGTTTTGGAAAAAAACGTGTTCCTTTGGAAATAATTTGCTGCACTGGGAAACATGTTGGGAAATAAAAATGCAAGGACAAAACACATCAACAATAACTGATGCATTCATTCTAAAATAAGTTTCAGTTTCTGGATAAAAATACAAACTCTTCTTTTGATAAATACACCTGCTAATACTGAGAGATAAAATACTGGTACACTGAGGGAGACAGTGATTATCAAGGTGGATGACAAACGACTAAATGAGAAAGGAAACGCATAGATCTCATTAAGGTTAAGGCTTTCTAACCCCCACCATGTTCCTAGTAATGCTAAGAGCATACCAGTGAATATGTAATTATGTGCATAACACTTAAAAGGCTTAACAATTAAATGTAAGGTGAGATAAATAGTGATCCACAAACAGATTACGGGGTAAAAATATCTTGACCTGGTTAACACAAAGGAAAGGTACATCATCAAAGGAAAGAGGAGAATAAAGCCTGAAAACCACCGATGGTCCCTTGTACCATTGTTTCCATCTTTGTAGCTGCCTTGAAAAACATCCATAAAAGTATGCAGAACAATAGAGTTACATCCAAGCCTATTGAGAATACTTTGACATTGTGGGAAGGGATACAAAAAGAGTAAAAACATTGGTACAGTGAAAAACATAGTTGACAAAACAATGGCCATTAATGCAAATGGGAGATGTTGTCTACCAAAGTACTCAACTGTAGGTGCATTTATAATAAAGTGCTCTTTTGTCAATCTATCTGACTCTGGGTTGTAGGTATAGACCGTACAAGGCATTAAAATATACATTGATGTTAAAAGCAACCGTGAACAGGAAAGATAAATGAATGATGCAAACACCCCTACAAGAGAGGTTTTTAAATTCCTTCTAATGGGTTTCAAAACCTTGTGAACAACCTTCCACCCCACCACTAGTGGTTTAAAATTTCGATCATGTAGTTTAACCATGGCGAAAGTCAGTCCGATCAATACAAGTGGATATATAGCTACAGGAAGCTCAAGTGACATAACCAAAAGTGCAGAAGCATTGGGATGAATGCAAAATCTGTAATACTTTCGAAAGAAGTCAAGATTCCATAGTGATGCAAAGGTGATGGCTATGTCCAGCAATTGTGAATGTTCCCCATGGGAATCTTGAACTATTAGTTGAACAACAACAGGATTTCCAACTATTTGGAAGAACATGATAACTCCGCAAAATTTAGGAGAAGCAAAGTTGATTGAGAACAAAGCTACAATCATGTAAAACACTGTAAGTGGACCATATACAACTGCCACATACTTGATCCAACTGTACTTGTAGTCCTTACACTTGACACACTCCAAAGCATAAGAATACACCGGAAATCCATAGCCTTCTTTACACTGGCTGCAGAGATATCCACGTCTGTTCATTTGAGGTGGACAGGACCAGTTCTGTAATTCATGTATGTCACATGGTAGCGTATAATATGATTTTCTCAAGTACAAACACATCTGCAGAGAAAAACCAACTGATAGAACACTGTCATTTCCTGTCATGCAATAACATTCCATGACTTGTGTTTGCATCAACGACATGTCTTGCTCTATAATGCCATCCAAACGAGGTCCTCTGTTGCATTTGCCAGTAATAGGATCCTTTGTAAACCAGGGTGGACACTCTGACGGTAAAGATCCACTCTCTGAGATGCCCCTCAGACTATCCGAACAGTTTTCGCTCCCGATTATTGGGATGTAGGCTTGATTCTGAACAAAGAGAAACGTAACCAGAAGTACTCCAATACAAAACATTACGCGAAACCCGCTTCTCAAAGACTGCAATAACCGTCGCAAAACTGTGTTCCTCGCGCAACGCGTGCCCGACTAATGGGCAAAAGGGCGGAAGCACGTATTTGTCAGCGCATGCGCAGTGCAGGTTCGTTGTAAAACGTGATGGGATCCGGATCATGCACTGGACCACAGGCCCTTGGTTATCAAAGGAATGAAGAATCTTGTGAGGGTGATTATCATTCACACAGAAAATGTCCTCTGTGGAAAACAGCTGATCTGGATGAACCAACCTTGCGTGGCAGAACATATCATGACCAATCACACAAAAAGTGACTACTCCTAGATCACTCTACTTCACACTTTGCGTACCATGCACCCCACATTCTTCAGTAATGATTTTATTTCTTCCATATATGTCATTATCCCTCACTCTGTGTAGCTATGTATAGGTTAACGCCTGGTTCTGCAGCGGTACCGGCGAAGCTGTTTACTCTAGAACCCGAGGGCGGAGCCCGGGAGGGTTAGAGTAAACAGATGAGGGGATATCCGGTACCGCTGAAGAACCAATGCGTTAACCAATTTGTAGCCTAGCAACCGTACTAATTGCCTAGCAACCATATTATTACGTCATCGACATTTTGCCGAGGTTGTAGTGAGAGAAATCGGTTGGCGAGACGAAGGAAAGGAGGCCGATAGCATGCTTGCGTGAGCCCATGCTGCCTGTTGACCGTTTGTTCGAGCGAGTTCTACTTTAGCTAGCGGTGGAGCGTAGTGTAGCGTGCAATTGTAGCGGGGCTGATGTAGCGCGGACCAAGCAGAGAAGACAAGACGCCGCGCAGACCTGGAATGACGTTCTTTGGAGTCTCCTTCGTATATCACGTACGCTACAGCTCAGCTATGGTGCAGCTAAGCCTGACATTTTTTAACAGCGTGTTCAAAACGACACAAGTGACGCACGGCACACAGCCCTCTCGCTCCAGCTCTCGCCTTTTTCTGGCTTGCTACTGACCACTATCTTTGTTATTTTCCCCATGAAAGCATGGTTAGATGATGTGCATCCATTCTCAGCAAAGTATTTAAGCGCCATGTAGAATCATTGCCTAATCATCAGGCCCTGACTCATCTGCTAGAATGGGGGTTCCTAGCCAGAAGGAGTACTACATTAGCACTGCTTAGTGAGTGGATGCAAAGTTTGGACTCTGGAATTGCTGTTTTCTTTGACTTTAAGAAAGCGTTTGACTCAGTCCCACACCGCAAGTTGATCTCCAAGCTGAAATCACTTCAACTCAACCCGCCTATTGTTAGATGGATATTACTATATATATTATTATATACTATTTGTCTGTAGAGAGAGGTAAATAATAGTTGAAGGGGCCATCTCCGAATCAACTCCAGTTATCAGGGGTTCCACAATGTTCAGTCTTGGGTCCTCTTCTGTTTTTCTGTATGATATACAGCCTGTCACACCTTCAACTTTCCCATGGAGCAAAGATGGTACTCTACGCCGATGATGTATTGTTATACGAGAGTATTCACTCCCCACATGACTACAATGCCATGCAGAATGACGTGAATCTAATACTCAACTGGTGATCAACACATTTTTCAACCCATCAACTTGCACGCAAATGGTTACATCCAGAAAACACACAGCACTACCTTATCTTCATATATATACAACTTGGCAACAACATCTTAGAGAGAGTACATATGTACATACAATGTATCTCACAGTGTAAATCACTTTAGATCTCACTTGGTCAGACCACATAATATACATGCCAAGTGTTCAAAAGCCAGGAAGCAGGTTTGGCTTCTTTACAGGCAGTTTCAGGGCGACACTGACCCGGCCACGCTGTTCAACCTATAATTATAGCACTCTTGTTAGTCCACACATGGAGTATGCATGTGAAGAATGGAGCCCTCACCTGCAAAAAGATATGAAAAAGCTGTAACAAGTACAAAAAATTCGGATTGCGCATGTGCACCAAGAGGTGGAACTCTGATTACCTTCAACTACTCTCTTTCTCTTTTAGGCATCATAGGCTCTACCTCAGCTGATGCACAATGTTAATAGTGAACATTGGAGTTCCCCATCCCGCCAATTAGTAGGTGTGGCTGAAGCGCATGTGCGATCTTCGCAGAAGTTCCTGCCGTTCTTAGCAGTTGATCTGATGAACAACCCATCTCCACTCATATGGTTTAACGTCTCTGTTCGTCCAACCATTTGCAAGAACAAACATCCTGAAATATTCCTATGTTCTTCTTACCTGCTTTGTCTGGAACTCATTACCAAACCATGTCACAGATTCACAGTCTCTAAAGGGCTTCAAAAACATACTTCTCGGCAATATTTTGTCTGTATTAAGCATTATACAATTATAGGTATATACACTTATTAATAACCACTGCCTTTTGTGTATATATCTGCATAAAGTTTTGTAAGAAAAAAAACAAAAACGTACCATCCAGAGATGGTCTTCAAATAGCATATAATAGCTATATTATATTGATTTTAGTGATAAAAATGAGTGGTTGTATTTCCCACCTGGTCTAGTTCTTTCACGCATGTGGAACTTTCACCAAAAAAACTTATGGAAAAGTTCTTCCACATGATATGTGTGCCAGAGAGCAAGCTGCAGTAGTTCAAAGTTCATCAAAGTTCAAAGTTCATGTTTGAATGGGCCCGCCCGGGCATGACATGTATACAGACAAGATAAAAAACATGTAGGAAGCATAACACATGACTGAAGAAGGTGGGGTCCATGGTAGTCAAAGAGTCAAGTAGAGTGCACCACGAGTTGTCACTTTTTGTGTGGTTGGTTATTACATGTTCGGCCAGAGTTGGTTTGTCCAGATCAGCTGTATCGCACAGAGGACATTTGCTGGGTGAATGATCTGGGTAGGTAATCACCCTCACAAGGTTCTTCATCCCCTTGATAACTGAGGGGCCGTGATCCAGTGCATGATCCCACAACTTCTTCCACCCAACACACTCGGCGATCTTGTGCACAAAATGATGTTTGGAGACCTTTTGTAGCAGCAGCAGTTGGTCTTTCTTGTTGATGATCTTTTGTGCATTTCTGATGATGTTAAGCCCCTCTGCGAGCTCATTGGCACTCAGTATGTCTGATGTAAAATTCGACTTGTACCTCTCCTCCAGTTCCCTGCATTCCCTCACTAGACTGAGTGCCTCCACGTCATCTACCATAGCTGAGAAAGCTCGATGACAGATGCTTTCTTCATTTGTCATGACTCTCTGCAGGAACCTTAGTTTTCTGATGGTGCAAACTGAGTGGAGTGAGTTCCAGCCAAGTGCTACGATCGCCGCGGTGTTGGAGTACCATTTTGGCAGTTTCAGGATTCTTTTTGCGATCTCTCCTTGGAAACATTCGAGCATTCGGATGGATTCAGGTGACAGAACCCAGTTTTCCACCCCATAGAGAAGAATGGGTAGAACACATGTCTCCACTATAGAGCAACATGATACAGGGCTCAGCTTGCCCTGAAAAGCGTAGATGCTGCCAAAGTGAAAGTAGGCCTTTCGTGCTCTCTGAATGCGATTCTGTATTGCAGATGAGGAAGACAAATCCTGCTTCCACTGGTATCCTAAGCAAATTGCTTCACCACTCACGGGAAAGCTACATATTCACCAACCTCGATGCTTTCTTGGTTTGTTCTGCTAGACGATTTCTTGAAGGCCACGATCTCACACTTGGAGGTATTCAATTTCAGGAAGTTGTCTTCGGTGAACTTTTTGATGGTAGAGATCTGTGCTTTAAGTGTTGTTGTAGAAGAGGTTAACGTGCGAATGTCATCCGCGTGCAGAAAGCCACCCACATACATGTTGTTTACTGATGCACCAATGGAGAGTGACTGCAGTTGTCTTAACAGGGGTCCATGACCAGTTAAGAATAGCGCTGGTGACAGAATGGACCCCTGTCGTACCCCTTACCCAGAGCAAAGGGAGAGGATAACATGCTGTACCCAGGCGTACAGAACTTTGACCGTCAATGTACCAATTTTGTAGTTACGGCACGTTTTGAGTTAACACCGACTCAAACAGTCCTCTGCAGAAGGATGGGGAACTCGACTGAATCAAAAGCTTTTCAAGTCATAAAGACACATGTACACTTCTCCCCCTCTCTTGGAGATATCGTTTATCACTTCTTGGTGGCAAAAAATTGGCGTCTGCACAGGATACACACTCCTATAGGCTGATTGGTTAGGATGTGGCAAGCAAGCCTCCATGAAGAGAGGCTCCAATCTGTTGAGATCAGGGTTTCTAAAACTTTGGATATGACTGAATTGAGGGTGATACCTCTATAGTTGTTTGCATTGAGGGGCAATTGCCTCCACCCTTGTTACACAGGGATGTAATTCCTAGTTGGGGACAATGGAGTTCGCAGATCTCTGTAGCCACGTGATGTTGGTTGACCCCCGAATTTCAGGTGTGTTCTTGCAGTGAGATTGTCTGGTCAGCAGATTTCTTCAGTTTCATCTTGTATCACAGTGTGCTCTACTCCTCGGTACTGAAAGGAACGTCAAAAGACCTCTTCCTTCTGGAAGGTTGCGGTGCGAAGCTAGGCGAGGTGAACGTTCGAGCCGTGATGTCGCCGCGTGGTGAGTTCGCGATTTGAGGGTCGGGTTGATTCTTTTAGTGCATGTTCTTCTCTCTTGTGA